CTTAAATTTAATCTCTGGGGTGGGAAACATTACGTTTAAATGATACATTGTACACACAAGCAAAGGGAGCAAGGTCCTACTGTAACTCCCTGGGCCACTTGGAAATTGCTGTAGGATAAAGCCCAGCACCCATGGCCTCCTTAAGTCAGAGTGCTAGGCCGTGGTCATGTATTACAACCCCCTGGCAAGCTTCAAACACTGTTATTTTATAGGTATGTGGTGGAAATTAGGCAAATGTGTGTTTTTGAAGCTCCCCAGGTGATTTTACATGCAGTCAGGATTGGGAACTGCTGTACTTGTCCATTGGACGCACTGGTGACAATAGCAGGCTTGGCCCATGCCCTAGTAGGGCTTACAGTCTGGGGAGACCAACTTGTTAACCACATAGTTAATTAATTGTAACTGTGGTAAGTGCTGCTGTACACTTACATTTCTGGAAGGCCAAGGAAGTCTCACTGCTGCTATAACCTGAAAGCTTAACTAGATATCAATGAGCGGGGAGCATTCTAGTCAGGGAGACCCGCATGTGCAAAGACCCTGGGGTAGCAAAGAGCTTGGAGTGGCTGAAGACCTGAAAGACAGCCTGGTCGGAGCTGTGGGCAAGTGGGTGGGAGACCTGAGGAGGTTAGAGAGTGGATGGCAACCTGCCATCCATTGTCAGGCTACAGTGAGTTGGAGCCACTCGGATACTGACGTGAATGGCCAGACTTCTGTGTCTGGAATAACCAGGTGCGTGAAGGCTTCTATCTCATAATGGTCTGGGCAGGAACTGCCTGCTCCTGTGCATAACTTCTTTTCTCACCCTCTGTGGGGGTGGAAGTGGGGCAACTATTGGAGGGAAAAGGGGTGTTTCCTCCACATCTGGAAAGCTTCCAGGCTGCCTCTGGCCATCAGGGGAATGGGTCTCACATGCAAATTCGATCTTCTTCCATGTCACCTAGTCTCGACATAGGAGAGCTCATCTGACAGAATGGTTGGCCCCCAAGCGTCAGGAGTCTAAGATTTCTCGTTGCATTGATTACTTTCCACACCGTTTGTTAGTTGTTCTTAGATTAAACTACAGAGTTAAATCCTCCTCCTCCTCGTTTTCCTTTTCCTCCCCCTCCGTATTTTCCTTCTTTTTAAAATCTATGCCAATTTCTAATCTATTGTGGGTGGCATGGAGGGAATTCTTCACACCTCATTTCGTCCTGCTTCCCATTTCAGAAGCTCCGTTGTGTACATTCTGTGTCCCCTCCACACCCCTGGCTGATCTCCCCATCCCACCCTCTGTCTGGGAGGGATGTGAGCTGTTCTTTTCATTTCAACTGCCTTGTGGCAACAGAGAACTCTTCCTCTTTGGTTTGAGCCTCTCGAAACCCATTTAAAGTGTTCATTTATGTATATGAATTATTTTCTCCCCAAGACTCTTTCAATTTTCATTCCCTCCTTAACTCTGACAACAGTGCAGTGCATAAGGAGGCACTTGTCACTGCAAGTGTGCAGAAGGAAAACTGAGGCCTAGATAGCAGCGTGGGGCAGTGGGAAGATTCTGGCCTTGCCTGGTGGCTTCCTGGCTGTGGATCCTTGGAAAAGCACACTGCCTTTCAAGGCTGTGTCCTCCTTGGTTGTGTGCGAAGAGATAAGTCAGATTTCTGTCCCCAAAGGGTTGTGTGGTGGTGGAGAAAATAGGAAGGGCTTCCAGGCTCCGTGTCCTGTCTCCACCACTCAGTTTTGCGGTCTTGGACAAGTCGGCAGACCTCCGTTTCCTCTGTAAAATGATGATACCGGCTGCGACTGTGCAGGGTGGTGGTTGCTGTTGGAATTGCCATCTGGGAAGTCCCAGCTCCCTACCCAGCTTGTCTTGGCCTTCAGGGTGGGGTAGCTGTTCCATCTCCTCTGCCATCTGGGCCTTGGCTGGTAGTCTGTAGGATCCCCAGTCATTAGTGATGGAGCTAGAGCTAAAACCCAAGTCTGCTGTCTGCTGGCCCAGAGCCTGGCTGGAGCTCCCGGATGGCATCTGGATTCGCCCAGAGGAGGAGGCTGAGCCTGGAGCAGACGAGGTCAGACTCCGTGAGGGTCAGCCTTGGGGCAGAGTGGGACTTCCAACTGCAGCAAGATGGCTGGGGAACACTTGGGGACCCTTCCTGAGAAATGGTGAGTCCTCGGGGACACCTGGTCAGTGAGGGGTGACCCCTGAGCCCTTGCAGAGTGGCCCTGTAGCCCTAGTACTGGCTGGGCACTCATTGTGTGGATTCCTGTTGAGTTTTGCACTGAGGGAGAGGCATGGCTGTCCCTACTAACTGGTGTGCACTGATGGTAATTCTGCCACTTATCCAGGTCTGTTGGGAGCTGTGTGCTCAGTGTGGGGCCCACGTTCTGTTAGTCTCCCTGAGACCCTTGCAAGGAACACACTTGGTAGCCCAGTTTTACAGAAGAACAAGGCCAAATGGCCAAAGAGAAGCAGGGCCAGATTTGAACCCTGGTCTGCTTGGCCCCAGGGCTCATGTTCCATGCACAAAACTGTATGACCTTCTTTTAGGTAGCATCTACCATGAGGTTTCTCCAGCAGTAATTTTAATCATAGAATGCTCATCCACATCCTCAAACCCACACTCACTTCAGTCTTATGCCAGCATTGACCAGTTGGTCTTTACCGTTGGCCAAAGTTAAATTTAGCTAAGTTACCACTGTTGAAGAGAAAATACATAAAAATGCTAAAACTTGTTATACATGGGAGGGAAAGAAAGGAGGCCCCAATATTGGATGCCTTGTGGCTGCTCAGGATGAGGGAGGATTGAGTTGGTATGCACTTTATATTGCTGGCTCATCGTAGATGATTTCTTGAACCCTTCTTGAGAAACCTGCACCTCTGTAATGCTCACCTTGTGTACTGTAGTGATTGACGCATGGTGTGGGGTCAGGACCCGATCTGACTCTTATTAATGACCTCCTTTCATAGCCAGAAGGGGCCATGCTCTTTTCTCATCAGAGGACCTTTGCACAGGCTGTTCATTACACCGACAACACTGTTCATCACAACCACATCCAGTGGTTTCCGCCACTGGACTGTATGCTCCATGAAGGCAGGGACCACACTGGTTTCTGTTGTATGCCTGCTGCCCTGCACTTGAGCCTGGTGTGTACTAGGCACTCGGGTTAATACTGAGTTGGGTGGATGAATGTGTGGTGAAGAGATGGATTGAACTAGTTATTTCCTTTCCCTTTACTCCAGCCAATATGCTCTTCTTAGCAGGGGAGGGGAATTGTAATTTCCTGCTGATATGACTCTCTTGGGCCTCTGAGGAACCCATCTTGAGAACCTCAGAGTCTAGCCCAGCATCTGACATAGAGTTAGACAACCAGTAAAGTTGACTGTGTCCCTCTGTCAAGCATAACTCTTGCCCATGAGACAACTGGCTCCAAGTTGCTGTGAGCAAGGACAGTTCATGTATTCTTTGAAGCAGTGAAGTTCATTCCTCACTCCCATCCATGCCGTGGTTTAGCTTCTCAGGATGCTCTGCTATTCAGTTTGCCAGTTACTCTATTGACTTATTTGTCCATAAACACTTATTCCCATAACCTTCTCTTCTCCAACATTCAGAGATAATGATATACAATCTTTGTAACATCACAGGCCTCACTTCAAAAGCATTCTGTTGCTATAGGAATGTTTATGATGTGCTTATCGCTAAAATTTCATGAGCAACAAACTCCCAAATTGCAGATGATTTAGCATTTGAAGCAAGGAGTGAGAGTGTAAGAGTGTTTGCATTAAGAAAAAAAAAAGGCTTTGAAAAAGAAAGTTTTTCTCCTGTAGAGTTATGTTCTTCTAAAGTTTAAAAATAAGAACTACTTAAAAGCTGGGAGTTTAGAGGAATGAGCACTTTCTTTTAAACATTCAAATGGGTGAAAATGACTTGTAATCTCTCCCTCAAGTATTAAGGCAACAGGCATTTAAAGGCTTTTTTTGGAGCTGGCTGTCATAGACAAAGGATTTCTCAATTTAAGAAAATATCATTTTTATAGCATTAAGTAGTAGGAATGAACACCAGCAACCATCTTGACATTTTGGAAATGATTTATTTTCTGAAACATCCTCATCCATTTTCATAGATGACGCTTTGTTCTTCCCATCTGGGATGGCAGCTGCAGCTGGGGTGGCCATTGTTAGGGTTAGGGAGCAGTTCAGGGTTCCAGCCACAGCTTTTGACCAGGTTCCGTGAGCCTCATGCTCTGTTACCTGAGCCAGCAAGACTCCGTGAGCCACTTTCCCCGAAGTCCCTGCTGTGGCCTTCCTCCCTGGGGAGAGACTCTCTGAACCAAGACATCAGCCAGACATCTTAGGGCAGTTGGACTCTGTATACACTTTTACTCCAGTGATGCTGCCCAGCTGTGGTTCGTGGAATGGTGCTGGCCTGCACGCCATTCAGAAAGCAAAGTACAGACACTAAGAGTGAGCACTTCGAGACTTTCATCCCGATTTGACAGAGTAATCTGTTGAGTCGAGTGATTAAAAAGTGGGCTTGCATCTTGCATGAATATTTTTTCATTTCATTTTTCTAGCAGTTTAGTTTTATGATGTTATGAAAGTATTCATCTGTGACGATTGGAAAACAAAACAAAAACAAAGACACCTCGTCCTTTATCACAAGTAGTTTGAGAAGCCGTGTGTGGTGGCGCTTGTGAGCTGCCTCTGCTCCCCTGTGGGACAGGCAGGCTGTTGAATGAATTTGGGGAAATCACGGCACTTACCAAATTATATTGTAATGGAACACGGGTACCTCTCTCTCTCTTTCCCTCTTTCTCTCTCGCTAGACCATTTCTTGAGAGGAGGGGGTGCATCTAATTCATCTTCGTTAGCCCCATTCTTTAGAGGCCTGCCTGCTCCCCGGTGAGAGGGGTGCGTGAGGCCAGCCTCGGGAACTCCCTGGCCTTTTAGATAGTGTCCTCTGCAGGCTGGCGATGGAGAGCTAAGAGCAAGCGATTAAGAGTGATCATTCCTTCTCTTTTCCTCACAGAACCGGGTCTCCTCTTCCCACCTGCCCAGCAGCATGAGAGCAGCATGACTGGCCAGCCGCAGGAGAAGCCCCCAGAGCCAGGCCCCCAACTCAACCATCTGTGGCAGAGGTCAAGGTGAGCTTGCTTCCATTCCCCTGGAAGATTTAGGAATTTTCGTTAACTGATTTTTTTAATTGAAATATATTAGAATTAACTAATTGTACATGCTTTTGTCATCCCTCACCATGTGCTGGAAGAATGGGATTTATTGGCACATGGGTAGATGAAGAAAGTGCACAGCAGCCTGGCTGGGCAAAGCGTGCTCACTGTGGTTAATGGGAGGCCAGTGGCGGAGCAGAGAGGACACAGAACTGAGCCTTCAAGGCCTAAGCTCCTATGAGTCCTCTACCACCTCCTGAATCTGGGACATTGGGCAGATCTTTTAGGGGTTGGCTATCCAGGGAATTTGGGATGAAAGAATCTCTGGAATAAGTTGGAATTAGAAGGAAGGTCAGTCCCATAGTCTGGGAGTCCCAGCCATCCTGGACAGAGACTCCTGTCCCATGCAGGGTCATAAGGAGCCTTAGAGGATCACCTTGGCCAATTCCCAACCCATATTGAACAGGGAAAATTCTTCCTAATTTAGGGACAAACGCTTCCTCTCTGTAATTTCTGTCTGCTCTCTGCTGTGCCATTTGGAACCACAAAGACTAGGCTTTCAAAGACTTCCTCCATGTGACTCTGTCTTTGGATTTGGAGATGGCTGTCATTACTGTTTTGCTTTTTTGTATAAATTCTCCCTAGAGACTGGTGCCTCACCTTGTCCTTCAGTACCTCCAGCGTCAGCCCTTTCGGTCACTCACTCAGGCTGTGCCCCCCTCAGCCAAGAAACCTTCATTCACCATTCCTGCTTCAGTACATATTAAGAGCCTTTTTTGTGACAGTCTCTGTGCTGGATTCTGGAGATAATCAATGAACAAGATAGTGTCTTTGTGTTTTTTAAGACAAAAAAGGTTTGGATCCTCAGAGGAGTTTAAAATAAGCATTGAACTGCTTCTGTGTGCTCCTTTTCATTATTTTATCCCTTTTCAACTTTTTTCTGAAATGTTGCACAAGTACTTGTAAAAAATGTACATTCTCTAATTATGGGATAGTTCTCTCTATGTGATCAGCAAAATAAGTTACTCATTGTGCAATCATCTGTAATATATCCTTTTGTGTTTTTGTCTGATTGATCAATTAGTTATTGAGAGAGAAATGTGTTTAAAAATCTCCCACTGGATTTGTCAATTTCTCCTTGTAGTGCTGAAATTTTTGCTTTATATATTTTGGGCATGGATGTTCAGAATTGACATATTTTATTGATTCATTTCTACCATCTTTACATACTCTCAATTTTCTTCTGCACTTCCTTTTTGGTTGAGGTGTATTTTTTCCCCCTCGTTTCATTTTCCATTTTCTTATTTGGAAGGTGTATGCTCCATATCTGCTCTTTCAGTGGCTACCCCAGCTATTTCAACAGGCTTACTTAACATAGTTTAAAATTCATCAGTGTCTTTACCTTGTTCCCAAGCAATACAAGAACCATAGGCTGGATTAATTCTAGTCACTGCTTCTCCCAGTTACATGTCATTATTATCCTGTATTTTCATTTTCTCTTGTTTTTTTCCCTACAAATTAGACATCATTTTATAGAGTTTGTATAGATTTACCCACATACTTACCAATATCTTTTCTTACCATGCTTTGCATGAATCTGAGATCATTTTCCTTCTGCTTGAAATAAAACCTGAGCATTATCCTTTAGTGGGAGCCTGTTGGCAGTAATTTTTTTTCTGCTTTGGTTTGGCTTGGTTTTTGGTTTTTGGTTTGCTTGAAAATATCATTATTTTGTTTTCAGTTTTAAAGGTAGTTTTACTGGATGTATTCTCATCGAAGCCGCTCCTTCACTGCCGCTGACTTTGAATGTTGCTATTGAGAAGTTGGCTGTCAGTTTAACTGCTGTTCCTTTATAAGCAGCATTTCTCTGGCATTTCTCTCTGGCGATGTTAAAGAAGTTGTTTTCTTTGTTATTCGGCAGCTTCATTATCACGTAACTAGGTGTAAGTTTCTCTGTCTTTATTCTACTTGGATTTTTGATGGAATTTCTAGAGCTAAAAATGGGTGTCTTTCAACAGTTCTGGAAAATTCTCACCCTTCATTTCTTTGAATCTTCCTCTTGCCCATTCTCTCTAATATCACCTTCTGGAACTCCAGTTAGATTTATATTAGGCCTTCTCATTCTTTTCTTTGTATCTTTTTTAACTCTGTTTCATATTTTCATCTCTTTGTCTCTCTACTAAGCTTTGAATAATTTCTTCAAATCTGTCTTCCATTTAATTTATTCTGTGTCTCAGATACTGTTTATTCATATTCCTTTAGTTCTTTTATTTATCATTTCTAGAAGTTCTGGTCTGTTATTTGTCAAATCTCCTTGGTGATTTTTCTGGTCTCTTATTTCTTGCTCATATTTGCAAACTTCTTTTTATTTCTTTAATATACTGAAGAAGCTATTTAAAAATTATAGAATTCATGTCTGGTAATCCCAGTATCTGAAATCTTTGCAGGTCTGATTCTGTCGTCTGTTGTTTCTGCTGGTTAGTCCTCGGTGCCTTGTTCCCTGTGAGCTATTCATTTTCCTTGCAACTTTATCTTCGAAAATTATTTGAGAAATGGGTTATATTAATTTTTATTTTCATCCTAGAAAGGATTTGCATTAACTTCTGCTGATTGTCTTGGGGCATTAGCAACCAAAAATCACTTTAAATTAATTTTCTAGCTGCCTCTTTCCTAGCCATGTTAGCAGTATGAATTCAAGCTATACACCTTTGTGAAGTCCAGCTGTAGTTACAAATTTTCAGAAATGACTTTCCCACTTTCTCCCCAGCCCAAGGTCAGATTTCCTTGCAGTCCCCATCAGTGTTGTTTGTACATTTATTTCCCATTCAGTAGAGCCTTTTAGGGTCACAACTATATGGAGGACCTAGGCTTTTCCTGTTTCCTGAACACTTTGCAGCTCTCATGGGAAACTGAGAATCTCTAGGGTTCAACAGGAACCCTCAGGTCAAGTCAGCTTTGCTGGTGGCTCACCTCCTCTAGTCCCTGCTTTTGGTCTGTTTTTGGTCTTTGAGGAATCCTTCCATTTGTACCAGCTCAGCAATGTGTATACAATTTTTATATTTAAAATATTACCCAGTGTGTTCATTGTTTCCATTAGGATGGTCAAGTGGGGTGTCTGGTCTGTCGTATTGACACAAAGTATGTCCCCTTTCATCCCCACCATAGCCCTGTGGGGCAGGAATTCCTATTCCTTGTTCACAGAAGAGCAAACCAAGGCCCAGGGAGGCAGGGGAGTGGACTGTGGTCAGAGGGCCGGCAGATGACGGACTGGGAGGGAGTATGTCCCTCTTGTGCCCTTTTTCTCCTCCCCAGGATGACTGTTGACCATTTGGGGGGATTAGCTTTATGCTCACAAAGGATATGAGTTTCTACCAAAGTGCTTTAAATAGCTGGGCAGCTTTGTAAAATGTGTTTATCAATCTATTGTTTATCTTCCTTAAGAGAGGAAATGGCTTCTGCATATTTTGTGGCTTATTTCTCCATTGGTTACCAGCAGTTTCGCTCCTTCATTCCCACTTCACACAGCCCTCCCGGACCCAAAGCCAGACCATGTGCACCTTGTCCAGACCCCAGTGCCACACCCTCCACCTAGGCTGTTCTCTCCTCCTTCTTACTTAATTCCCATCCCTCCTGCTCTTGGACTTTGTCTCCTGAACGTGCCCTTTTCAGTGGAGGGGAGGCCGCAGAGCACCATGGTTAGGTTTTTGGGGCTTTGAGGAAAGAGGGAACAAACTGAGTGTGCACCTGACCAGCTTAGTCTCTCCAAGCTTCAGTTTCTTCATCTGTAACATGGGGGCAGTGGACAGAGCTGTTCAAGGACTAAATGAGACAGTGTGTGCAGAGCTCATGAGAAAAGCTTGTAGCATCTCAGTACTCAGTCCGTGGTAGTCGATATTATTATGACTAAGAACAGACCCCTTGAAGGCCTATGCTCTTGTTCACTGATGCTTTTAGGCTGACAGGCAGTTTATGAAATGTGTGAAAGTGGAGGCAGAAATTGAGGGGCAGTGTGGGACTCTCCATCTTACTATTATGTTCTTCAAACTGGGATGATTTTAAAAATAATCTGAGAGTAAACAGAATACACTGGTCTGACCGATGTTTGTAAAGGATGTAAACCATGGGTTCTGGGAATGGTGCCCCCCAGCATCTCAGCCTCCCCTCCAGGTTGTGCCCTTTGTTTCAGAGCCATGAGGGGGCTGGAGCCTCATGATATCAGTAACTGGAGAATAATTTTCCCTTGTGGAGCCTTGAGATCAAGGGATGATACAACCTCTCTTCTGGACTCATGGCCAGCAGGGGCAGGAGTGGTGGTCTTCACTGTCCATGTTACTTCCATTCTTAGAGCTGACATGGTGCTTTTTATTTCATACACTCCCTTCTAGTAGTGGCTTTATATCACTCTGAGATTTGTATCACTTCCTGCTCTGATGTCTATCAGGCAACAACTTTTCTCAACACCTGCTATTTGTAGTGACAGCTTTGTGTCCAGTGGTAGAAAAAAATGTATACAGTTGCTTTGACCCTAAAACTGCTCTAAAAAAAAAGAACACTATTCATTGTAAAGGACTTTATGACCAAAAAAAAATGCATAAAAGATAAACTGTCTTCATAAGATTGTCAGGTACTCAGAGTGGGTTTCCCCAGGGGCCAGCACTGTGCCTTCCAACGGTCGGGGAAGGCTGGAGGAGGCAGATGGAACTGAGCCTAGGGGTGAGTAGGCAGGAGCCTTGTACATTCTGGCTGGAAGTATGAGCTGTGGTGTAGAGATGAGTGTTCTCATGAGCCAGTGGGACAGCAGCTTCTTGGAGAGCTATTCCATTTGCGTATCAAAAGCCCTGAGAAGTCCTGCAGTTAATGTTTGAACTGTGTTTCACCAGGTTTCTCAAGTGTGTCTGACCCCTCATGGCTGATGAGCGTAGCGGCCTTGAGTGGATTTGCACTTGTCTTCTGTCTCTAACAAATGCTTCCGTTCACTCTGGGCCAACAATTCACTTTCATAAAACAGTGATTGGCAATTTTCTTTAAACACTCAGTATGTGAGTACCAAAAAATTATTTGGAGTCAACTGCTTGTCTTCTTTTTCCAAGTGTTGCTCAAATAATCTGTAAGGATAAGGGTTTCTAGGAGCCTGAGCAGCCACGTTGGAGGAGTTAGGGAAGGGCTTCCTTGTCCTCTGCAATTCCCAAGATGATGTGTTGGATAGTCTCTACCCAGCCAAGGGGCCAGGCCCAGCCCCACCTCCGCCTGCAAACCTCAAAGTCTATTAAGAGCCTCCCTCCTGATGATGATTCATGTTTCCTGTCCCTCCTCCATCCTAGTTACTCAGAGCTGAACCAAGATTGATTACTTATACCATCCAACTGGCTTTGCCCAAGGGAGGTCAACTGGTAGATTAAATACTCTTCAATGGGTGTCACCCCAGGCTGAGGTCTCCTTCTTGGCCCAGCCCAGTGGCACAAGGAGCTGCCTTAGGTGCACATGGGAAGACACAGGATCAGGGGAGGCTTGTCCAGCTGAGCCTTTGCAAGTCAGAGCCAGAGGGACCTCCTTGCAACCGGTCAGGTCCAACCTCCTCATCCTGTGGCAGCTGAGTCTGAGGTGCAGGGAGGGGAAGTCATTTGCCCAACAAGGTCACAGGACCAGTCTCCTTTTCTGTTTGGTCCTGGTTATCTTTATACTGGGTTTGCATTTCCTGAATACACAGCAGCTGGGTGGGGGTGGGGGTGGAGGGCAGGGGAAGTGGGCTTAAAAGAAGCCCGTCTGAGAATGTTTAAATTTCTTGTGAGTGTCCCATGAAGAGGGAGATGATCTGTGTGGCACATAATCAAGAGGAGAGGGAGAGACTTGGTCTTGGTCCAGATGAGCAAGAGTGGAGGGAAAAAGAATAAAATGAGAGCCATTCAGAGACGGCTGTGACATTTTCCCCAGTGTACCAGAAATAAATATGGAGTTTGTCTCTTCGCCCTTCCATGATGCCATCTTGTTTGTATTTTTGGAGAACTCCCACGTCACGTGGAGGCTGTTGTTGTTTGTGTGGCAGTGGTCCTGCGTCTCTTGGGTGTTCTTCGGCCTCACCCCAGAGTCTTTGGCTCTTGTCTCCCCCAGGTTTGCTCCTACTGGCCAGTGCGAGCCTTTGGAAATCTCTTCCTCCCTAGGAGGTTCCAGAGCTTAGCTCATGATGGAAATGCAGCTTCCTGCAGGGCTCACCTCACAGGAAAATAATGGGTGTGAGAGTGTCCTCAAAATGTTAATGGTGAGGTTAGTCTTGTTTTTCCTTCTCTAACACCTGCCTGGCATGAGCTCTGAGGGAGTTAGGAACTTCCGCCAGGGAAGGTCAAGTTTGCCCTTCAAATCAGGTGGCAGATACGGGCCACCAAAGCCTTCCAGGCTGCCTCCCTGGGACAGCCCCACCAGAGAGGGTGTCCCAACTTCCTCAGGATGGCTGGTGTTAAAGCAGGCCAAGAGGCTGTATCTGTATGTAAGGCAGCTGCAGAGATGGACAGAGTTACTGCCCACTTCCTGCACTCTTGAGAGCTGGGGGCCCTCGTGAAACAGGAAAGAAGTAGACTCTCTCCTTATCTGGTGTCATGGAGGAAATGAAATGACTCTTTCCGGGTAACTGGGACACGCCCCTTTAAGCTTTCTTCTTAAATGATAACTACAGATATTGTTCAGCTTAGACAGCCCCTGAATAATAGCATCTCTCCTCTCCTGGGGTCTTGGACAGCTTGAGAGCCCAACCCGAGGGCAGACACCTCCTTCTTTCCCAGTAACCACGCTGGAGAGCATGGTCTGACCTGTGGCCACACTCAGAGTCCCTCTCAGACACCCGCTGAGCTGCATGGACCCACGGAGAACTGGAGGCCTCTGCTGCAGGGGCTGCTGCCCCAGAGAGCCTCCTCCAGTGATGAAGTCACATGAGCACCAACAGTCTCCTGTTTCTCTCGCTGCCCAGTGAGCAACATACCAGATGCACTTGGCCTTTCCAGGGTACGTCTTCCACGTGTGGATCTGCGTCATGGATCACAGTGCACGCACTGGATGAAGGGTGCCTTCAGGGTGTCAGAGTGGTAAGGCGGGTGGTCCCCTCACCAAAGGGCCCGGACTGTTGAGGCTTCCTTGTGGATGGTTTTCTCTCTTCCTGACCATGTCTACTTCCACTCCCCTGAGCCCCATTGTGGTAACTGAAACAAAGGGAGGGTGAAGGTTGACCAGGAACAAATAACCAAACTGATTCAATCAAGACTGAGTCACCGAGCTGATCTAAACAGTACCCAAGTCCAAACAAAACAGCAGAAACCTCACCCTGAGTGCTGAGACTCTGAGTCTTCACTGGGGGCCACATATGTCCCGTACGTTCTCTTGTTTAATCTTCACAAAAAACCTGGAACAATAAGTAATGTTATTCCTCCTTTACAGATGTCAAAACTGAGGCTCGAAAATAAAAAGATGAGCTCGGCCTGCTGGGCTCTCACTGGCCAGTAGAAGGTTAAGATTTGAACTCTTGTCTTCTGACTCCAGAACCAGCACTCTTGGTGTTCCTATGGGGGAAATGCTGCCATATAACAACTCATGTGTTTCGCTCCAGTGAGAAGTCCCTGATGGGTAAAAAAAAACTTACCAGGTAGCTGGAGCTCAGCCTTTAAGCCTAGAAATAGAAAGGTTTTTGTTTTTGTTTTCGTATAAAGTGCATCAGCTTCTTTTTCATATTTCCAAGTTCATGGCTTTATGCTAGAAGGTTGAAGGTTGCTAGGAGCTGATGGCCAGATTCCCAGGGCTTGTCTACACTATGTGTAAACTAGTTCTGTTCAACTCTCCAGAACTCAAGGAGAAAGTTGGAAGGATCCAACTGGGGGAATTAGCTTCCTGCTGGTCAGATGTGTGACGGGATACAAGAGACACTGCCAGATATCAGGGGAAGGCGCATCTGTTGGCATCAGACGTCTGGAGGCCTGGCCCTTTGTCACCAATTGTGTGGCCTTGGGCAGATCATTTCCTGCATATTAATTTCCTCACCTTTTAAATAAGACAGTTCTGACCTCACAGGTTTGTGTGGGAACAGAATGAAATAGTGTGTCTGTGCTTTGTAAGGCACTTTCCAGATTGATACTGTTGGCCATGAGGATGTGTACGCCCCCCCATGAATGCCTTCAGGTCCGTATTGGGGAGCCCACCCTGGGTCAGAGGGTTTGTAGCTGTGGCTCAGGGCTGCCTGCCATGTTCTGAGCTCCATGAATGTCAGGTAAGCGTACCCCGTGGTCCCCAGGGCAGGGCACTCTACATTGGCACCGACCTTCTCGTCCCAGGCCTATTAAAGAGACAGAGCCTTGAGCTTCATACTCCTCTGTTCAAAAAGGGAAAGAGAAAGGAAAAAGAAAGGGGACAAAGAGAAAAACTGATTTTCTTTAACCTGTGGCTTTTTCCCTTTCTCCCTTCCATACTGTGAGTGGAATTGCCACTTTGCTTTTTTTTTTTTTTTTAATTAAAAAAATGGTGTTCTCGGTGTTAGAACATAGTATTTAGACATGTTGAACTGACAGGTGATGGGTGTGTTAGTAATACACCATCCCCACAAATCACATTCCCAGGGTTGGTGGGGAGATTTGCATGTGAGTGTGTGTCGTGCATACCGCTGGACAGCTCGAAGTGACTGGGGAGGCTCCAGTGACCCCTTCAAAAGCAGCTCCTGTGGAAGGCTGGCCAAAGGACGTGCTGGCCCTTCGGAGGGGGAGCAGAAGTCACCTTCCATCGTGAATTGAGGGGATCTTCTCCGTGGTGTCCTGTGGAAGCAAAAGTTCTCTCCTTCCTCCCTCCTTCCCTCTCTCATGTCCTTAGTGCCCAGTGGGTGTCATGTATCACACTGACTTCCAAGCACAGAGTTGATGAGGCGGCCCTTAGAAGAGGTCCCAGTCTGATGACAGAAGCAGATAGCACAGTTGGAAGCGATGCACCAAGTGGTATCATAATCACACACAGAGTCCTGGACCCTTCCCTGCTTACTCTCCAGGTGTCCTTCCTGGTAGCCCTGCCTAGCTCACCACCCATTGTCAGGGAATTCACAGACCTCTCTGAACCTCAGAGCCCGGGGTCCAGCTGCCTCAGTGACGGCTCCTGTTGTAGGTCTCCAGGTGAAACTGAACTTGGACAGTGCTCCCTGTCTCCACAGGGGTGCGTGCCTGACATAGAAGTGTCATCTTGATGATCCTCCCTCCTGTCAGGGTCACTCTGAATGCTCCTCAGTCACCACGCACATCCAAGTGCCTGGCATGGCCCATAGCAAAGCCAAGACCCCACCATATCCCCACTCACCTTCCTCCAGCCCCTGTTCTGCACCAGGAGTCCACAGACTATGATCTGTGGGCCAAATCTAGCCACTGCCTGATTTTGTATGGCCTGTGAGTTAAAAATGGTTTCTACCTATGAACATTTGATGAAATAAGAACATGGACTTTGAACTCTAATTAAGCATAATGTTATCCCTCTAAAAGATTTCCATTCTTCTCATTAGCAGAGCTGTATTACAAAAAACTATACTCAATTATTATTACATTTTGAGTTTCCTCAAATAATTCATAAAAATTTGTTTTTTCTCTTACTTTATTAAGTGTCTACATCATAGATTCAATTTTGCCACCTGGCTGCAAAACCTAGAATGTGTACTACCCAGCCTTTTACAGAAAAGGTTTGATGACCTCTGTTCTACACTGTGACCTTGTCAAAGTAGAAGCTGATTGATCAGTCTCACATACTTGCACAGATACACACACACACTGCTCAAAACTCTTTAATGCTGCTTTGACTCTGTCTGGAGTACAGCTTTCCACACCATGTTAAATTTCCCTGTTTAAGTCCTGTTCATCCTTCAAATCATGGTGTCACCATGACTTCCTCGGAGGATCCTTCCCTGACCTTTCTGCTAAGGTCCCTGCCCTTTATTATAGCTCCTCATCACAGTCCTAGAATTACATTTGTCGGTGTCTGATGCTCCCCCTCACACACTGCAAGCCCCACATGTCAGGTACCCACCCCCATCATGTGCACTGTGCCTGGTACATGGTAAGCACTCACTAAACATTTTGTTACAGTGAACGGCTAAGAATCAGGGGAGGCTCCATAAAAGATACTACGTTTGAACAGGAACTTGTAGACTGAGAAGATGGAGCATGAGAGAAAAAGATTGCAGGCAGAGGAACCTGCGTTCTGGAAACAGCAGCTCTGCAGGTCTGGTGCTCTGGCTATGAATGGGACAATGAGGTAATGGGGGCCAGTGACCAACAGGATATCTGTCCCAGTAGTTTTGAGGGCTCCCAAGGGTGACAGAAAGTATAGCCAGAAGAGAGAGCAAACCCAGAAAGGGTATGATTCCCCTCTCGAGTCCGTGAGGCCTCTCAGTAGCCGTTCTGTGGATGGAACCAACCTTTGTGGGCTTCCCACCACCCACACCTTAAACTTAACAGTGGGACTCTCAGGTGACCAGATTGTTCCCTTCCAACCTTGTGCTGTCATACTTGAATTCTTAGAAGCATCTGTGAATTAAAGCAAACGGCTTTTCTTCATGTGGCATGCTGTGGTTTGAAACAGGGCTCTGCAGACAGACCCGATCCCAGCAGCCCCCAGGGGCTCACCTCTTGCAGGCTGTCTCCCAGTTTGCTGCCTTGCTCTGATCACTCTCTGCTTCCCCACCCTCAGCAGTTCCCCACAGCCCTGGGAGCCCACTCACAGTGCTCCGGAGGCAAGGCGTCTCCTGGACCCTTGAACGAGGACCACCTCTCATCTGACTGAGAAGTCTGGTTCCCCTCAGCACCTGCCAAGCCTGTGGTCAAACTTCAGTTCGGGGACTCCAGGGTAGCAGGAAATCTGAGGTGGGCTAGGAGGCCCTGTGTCTGGCTGCACTGAGCCACTGTTTGGCATAGTGCCAGACATGGGGCACAGGCTGGTCCCAGAGATGATAGGCCTCTAGCTGCTCTCGCAGTGGTCACACCAGTGGAAGGTGGAGGCGTGAGTAGTGGGCCAGAAACCAGCCCACAGGGGCCTGGAGAAGAGAGTGAGTCCGGAAGTAACTGTTAGATGGCCCCTGGTCCCAGACACAGAGGTCCCTCTGCCTTGTTTCCTGACTTCCAGAATTCCCCCAAAAGTCTTAGAACTCTGAGCCAGAAAGGGCCATGGGGCTTGCTCGTCTAAGCCCCTTTATCTTACAAGTGACAAGCCAGGCCAGGGCACTGCCCCACGACGGGGCCTGTGTTGCCGCGGCAGTTTACAGGTGGCCTAAGTATGGCCCCGACATCATAACCGGAGCATCTTCCATCTGAGAGCCGGCAGGAGAGTCAGGAGAGCCCAGCAGACACCCAAGCACAAGAAACTAACTCACAGTTACTCACATACATGGGAACATCACTGACGCTTAGTTTGTTACCCAGCGAGCTGTGAGCTGTTTTCCAGAAAGAAGGGGGGTGGTTACCCCTAGACACTCACTGCTTCTGGGGGGCCTTGGGTGTCCAAAGCATTTTTCAGATACAGTCTGATGTTTTGGAAGGCCACAGACCAAAGCCAAGCCACCTGCTCTATGTGGGAACTGAACCCCTGACCCAGGAGTTCACCTGGAGCCCTAGGTGGGGAGAGCCTGCAGGCTCCCAGGTGGCAGTGCTGTCTGCTCCCCTCCCCGCCGTCCTCTGCAGAGTGAGCTGGTCTGTGCCCCTGATGTGCTGGAGGCTGTCTTGGCAGCTTGGCCCAGGGTCCTGATTGTGACTTGAGTGATAGGAAGGGAGCCCTCAGGGGCCTGCCTTGTGTTTTCTTAGATTTGTAATCCACTTTGAGGCTGGGGGCATGGGGGATCTACCCACCAGCCAGCACAGCTTCCCATCCATCTTCATCCCCTGGACCTTCAGCAGAGTGGCTGGAGGGAAATCTCCCATTCTCCCAGCCCTGCTGCCCTGCCCAGGACAGCCATGGGGCTGGGGTTCCCTTATCTGGCTGCAGTTCCGAGTGTTGAT